TAAAAGTAACCACCTCTCGTTCCCTTTGGGTAACCGACAAACAGCCGTACTTCTGTTCTAGGTGCCAACTATCAGCTTCCTTATCCAACACATGTGTTGGGCAGCCCCAAATCAGAATGTGGTTTAAACTGGTCTTGCGCCCAGACCACAATTCTATTGGAGTTTTCAGAACTGATTTAGAAGGTACAAAGTTAAGAAGGTACGCATATCCCCAAAACGAGGTAGGTAATGAAGCATAGCTCATCATCGATCTCACCATTTCCAACAGAGTCCTATTCCTTCTCTCTGCTACGCCATTCTGTTTGGGAGTACCAAGCGCAGTCAGCTGAGATGTAATCCCATTCATTAATATGTATTGCCTAAATTCATTGCTAAGGTATTCGCCACCACAATCAGATCGTAGTGACTTGATACTTTTTCCTTGACGGTTCTCCGCTTCTGCCTTGAATTCTCTAAACTTGTCATAGCATTCAGACTTGCGACACATGAAGTAAATGTACCCATATCTTGAGTAATCGTCAATAAAAGTAACGAAATACTCAAAACCACATCTAGCTTGAATAGACATAGGCCCACACAAATCAGAGTGAATCAATTCCAACACATCATTGAACTTATTCCCCTTGGCCTTAAATGGCCTAGAAGTCATCTTGCTTTCCAAACAGGATTCGCAGACTGAAAATGGTTCAACTTGGAGAGAGTCCAAGAAGCCATTACCTACCAGCCTTTGGATCCTCCTTAGATTGACATGACCCAATCTTAGGTGCCAAAGATATGTCTGATTCGACTGAGAAGGTTCATTTCTCTTGTTTAGTGATGAAGATGCATGAGCCTCAGTCACAGTATGATATGCACAAGTAACAGTATAAATATTGTTAACCAACATGCCAGAACAGATAAAAGAGTTATTTCTCATAATAAGAACATTGTCATTAAAAATAACTGAATATCCATCCAAAAACAACTTCGGAACTAAAATTAAATTCTTCCGAAAACTCGGCACGTACAAAACGTTCTTTAATACTAAAACAGAATTAGAAAATGATAAATGTACATCTCCCACTGCAACGACCGCCACTCGTGTAGCGTTGCCCAAGCTGATGGTAATCTCACCCTCACTGAGCTGCCTTCTTTGCAGAAACCCCTGCAAAGTATAACAAACATGATCAGTGGCTCCTGTATCTACTACCCAAGAGCTGGTAGAACAAGCCGCAAAACATGTTTCGACAACTAAAGTAAGAGACGTACCAGGAACGTCCTTGAGGGGACAATCTGTCTTCCAATGTCCTGTCTTGTTGCACTTGAAACACTTGCCTTTCGGCTTCATCACACCACCAGAAGGCGCTACAGCCTTGCTCCCACCATTCCCACTACTCCCACTGGTTCTACCACTTTTTTTCTGCACTTGCTTTTTCTTCTTCCCGCCTTTCGACGAAGAAGGTCCAGCTTGTACATAAACATGAGCCTGTGATCCCCTTCCCATAAGACCCTCCGCTGCAACCAAGTTCGTAAGAAGCTCGGCTAGAGTATAGTCCTTCTTATTCATGATTGCATTCAGGCGGAAATTCTCATAGGACTTCGGGAGCGAGTGCAGGATGATATCGATCTTGGCTTCGCCATCGATATTTCCTCCGAGTACATCTATCTCATTCAGATATCCCATCATCTTCAGAACATGCTCTCGCACAGAAGCTCCCTCTGGCATGACAGAAGACATAATCTTCCTCATTGCCTCAAACCGAGTAGCCCTATCTTGCTCACCAAAGAGTTTCTTGAGACTCAACATCATGTCAGCAGCAGTAGGCATGGTGTGATGCTGCTGTTGCAAAACATTTGACATAGATGCCAAGATGTAGCAACGAGCCATCTCATCAGCCTTATGCCACTTCCGATGAGCCTCTCTTTCCTCTTCAGTAGATTGGGCGCTCAAAGGAGCAGGAGCAGGAGTAGTAAGCACAAACTTGTACTCATCAGCAACAAGGACAATATCCAGATTTCTCATAAAGTCCAAATAATTTGGACCAGTAAGCTTGTTTTGATTGAGAATGCCATAAGCGGATTGAATGACATGATGAATAACTGAAATAAATAATTGCAAACACGTAAGCAACAATTCACATAAATATGAAGCATAAAATATGGAAACCTTAAAATACCATCATTTAATACAACCTCAGAAAACTTAACGAACACACATGCAAGCCACGTTGGGTGGACGGTTACACATATTTCAATTAAACAGACACCCAATCATTAATCTCAATTGCAAGCCGACATGTACTTATGGCGAATAAAATTAATAGTCGAATTTTAACACTGGCCATGTGAATCAAAACAGGGACTCCGTTGGGGAGTTATATTAAAATTCACATCTAAGTGATGACCACAATTTAACCCCAAGAACAATCATCCACAATTGATGAACTTACCGATGGGGAAGACACATCGCTTGTAAATAATTTTCTACTGTTATCTCGAAATAATCTTTACCGGTGAGCTTATGAATGACACTATCCGTTAGGGAGGAGACCCCATGGGTCACGCGTATGCCACTCACTTCACCTAAAGATTAAGTCGTTTGAATAGAAGTCTTATCTAGTAAGCTCGTGAATGCCGCATCCGTTAGGGGAAGACTCCCAGGGTCCCGCGAGCGACAAACACCTTACTTAAAGACTAATTGTGGAGGCCAAATGAATTAATTAAAATTCATATTATACTCACTTAGTCATTTTTACTTGAAGGTTTTTAACAACATGCAATAAGAAATAATAAAATTCCTATCATGCTCCTAACACGAAAATCACATAAATCCTAGCATGCTCCTAAAATTCAAAACAAAAGCAATAACAGCTTTCTAAGAATTTATAGCACCTATTCACATGATTTCTAGCATGCCAAAAATTCAATTTAAATCAGCTAGACACATAATCAAATTAAACATGCTCTAGCAAAATTAAATCGCATCCACAAAGCGATAAAAAATGCAAAAATTAAAACACATCTATCGCAGTCCCTTTAAAACCAACTACTAACAGCCTATCAAAGTTATTACATAATTCAACAAGGTCGTGGATGAACACTCGAATCGGTATCTCGCGTAAATCGGGCCATTCACGCAATGTCCCTACCCACCGACGAAAAAGGGCCAAAAAATTCATCTAGACGATAGAATTTGACCCCGCCACAGGCTATCATAACGAAGCACTGACATGTGTAGATATCGCTCTCCCGTTTCTGAAATGGTATTATTGGCTGAAATCGAACACCTGTAGCAAAAGTTATGGCCAAAACGGTTTTCGCCGACGAAAATGCCCCCGGTGAATGCTGAAACCCTAGCCGCCGCCTCCAGGTTGATCATCTTCATTACGTTCGACTTTCTTCACAAAATTACAGCAAAAATCGAACAACAACAGCCCTACTACAATCTACAAAATCGCCTATACTACCCACACTTATTATCTGGTGGGAAAAACGATTACAACAATACACAAGGGCTGCGACAGACACCATCCAGAAGCATAAACGAGATAAACAATCATCCATACCATGAACATGACTGAAAACGAATAAACTAATAAACAAAATCAACTACATGTTCCAGGCAGAGCCGATAATCTACGAAACCGATGGCTCTGATACCAATTGCTGGAAAATGCCGACGAGGCGGTCCTTCCCGCGGATCGATATCGGATACCAAACACATACATACATGATTTCGAATTACCCTAAGCATGCTCCTAAAGTATGAACAGAGAAATATTTTTCTTAGAGGCTTTGATTCGATCTGAGCGATCTTCTAGTCTGTGTCCCGACCACGTTTGGACGCCAGATGGACGACGATCTACCAAACGGTTGAAAGGAGCAGATTGTGTTTCGTCTTCTCCAAACCCTTCGCATGAATTTCTCCTCACGATGGTGGCTGAAGGTGTCACGTTTTGTGTTGTTGTGTAGGGTTCAAGACGTGTAATCCCTCCTTTTATAGAGGTCCTTGGGCCAGCCTAGGGATCTCTTAGAAGGTATAGGGTTTGGGCTCCCTACAGGCCCAAATTCTTATGTTCAGCCCAGAACACAATTTGGCCCGTAAATATTAATTCATTCCACTAGAGAATTAGTATTGCACTCCCGTCCAATCCCGAAATGAATCAAGACTTCTATTAAACTCGATATAATTCCCCGTGTTTAAGTTATCGCACGTCCATTAATTATTAAAGCTTCTGACTGCTTTAATATAATTAATATCTTTTATTCCTTAAGTAGTACCACTCAGCCTTATTATCGTACGAATTAAATCCACCTGCAGGGTTTATACGATAATCCTTATGAGTTCCTTAAGGGGACATCATCAACCTCGATGTCCAGGACACAGTTCCCAAATGCCAATAAATAGATATCATGCAGATAATGTTGTCACCCAAGATACGGAGCATATTGAACCAATACTTGGTTCTCACCCATGGTAAATCAACGTAACAAACAAATATCCCACATATCTAAGTATCACATTTAGGGTTAAGAATTAGTAGAGTCACCGAGACTCAGATTCTTCATGATAGTTAGAACAGAAGAACACGCCTCAACTGTGATCCATTCAATGCGACGCAGCGCACTAGTATAAACCAATAGCCAAGACAACCTACATCCAGTTTATACTACAACCTATACCGATAGTCATGTCCATAACTATCTCAGTTGTGAATACCATTTATATCTTATAAGGGACCGGCAAATCTTCTGTGTGACTATTAACACACCACATTGTCTACAATATAAGAAATTGGACATTTAGCATACAAGCAATCATAAAGAATGCATCAATGTGAAAACATTTATTTCAGTCAAGATGGGAAATCGAATAAATACAATCCAAAAGCTCACATGAAAGTTTGTTTTACAGTATACTCCAACACTTGGGTGACAGGGCACTAACCCTGAACAATCGATGTCTTTCCTGAACTTTTGAAATCGTTTATGATGAAATATTTGGTTATCTTTTTGAACCCTTTTCGTTCGAACCTTGAACCGAGAGCTCGAAGTTCCACTAAAATGTGTATAAATCGTTAATCGGTGATTTTTTATTAAGGGGTGTAGTCGAAGAGTTCCCATGTCTTACTCGAGAGTGTCTCGAGTCGGCAAATTGGGAAGTTCGTGTTGCCATTGGACGGAACCTTATGTCGCGCATAAGGGCTACATTTGACTCGTGGAGTCAATACCTTGAGAGTATGAGCATGTTGGGGTTGTGATGTCTATATGTGGTACTGTGTCGTAGTCTCTGATAGAGACGCACGGACCATGATGAAATCGTGAGCGAGTTATCAGTGTGACTAGGACACGAGACTAAAGCTTGGCGCCACAGGTCCACCTTGATGTTGAGGCAGTCGGAGTACGCTAGCAATACACCGAGCTACCTATTAAGGTCTTTTGTGTTGTTAGGTACGGAGCAAGTTGTTGATACTCATGGGTATAGGCCAAGCCGGACTAGGTCTATTGCAAGAGGATCTACGCCTGAGCTCGGGCAGGATTGATCACCCTCCCGTGCAAGAAGGCAAACATATGAGCATAGGGTGCGTCGGATTGGGTCATGTATATGAGTGTAGGCCGGTGAGTATAGGGTTATAGGACTCATGCGAGCGGGGTCGAGTTTCGGAGTGGATTCCCGGGACTCATGATTGGAAAAATTCCCGTTCGAATCTGTCGTTTTTCTTTAGATGCGTGTTGTTTCGTATTTTCGAGGACAAAAATCTTTTTAAGGAGGATAGACTGAAATGCCCCGTTTATTTATGGATATTTGGGATTAATATTTATATGCATTATTATTTTTTATTTAATATTAATTGTCTAATTTAATTAATTGTCAAATTGTCTTAAATGCTTATTATTATTATTATTATTATTATTATTATTATTATTATTATTATTATTATTATTAATTGTCATTATTGTAATTATTTGATTAATTATCTAATTGTCATTAATTGTTTATATAAACAAATATTG